GGAGAGGGGGGGGGGGTAGGATAAGGCAGGGAAAGAAGGAGAAAATGCACTAAGGATGGATTACCTATCTTTTGCTTCATTAAAAACAAAGCGCTGGGGACCAGCAGGTGATGTGGGTGGTGGTTAAGTGCACTGGACTCCCACATGGTCGACCACAGTTCAAGTTCCAGACCTGGTGGCTTGTTTATCACCCCTCCCCCGACCACCTGCCAATCTGTCCCTCTCTGTTCAAATTAAAATAAAATAAATAAATAAAAAGCAAAGCTCTGTCCAGTCATATGACTACCCCAGAGGGTCCATCTACACAAGATACAGACACTACCTCACTGCCCTGCCAACATAGTGTCAGCACTCAACAAGCCTATTTCTGAACAGGATCAAACCTGTCCTCTTCAGTCCACCAGAAGTTCATGGGTGCCAGGTGATCTTCAGGTCAGGAAGTGATGAGGTCAGGAAGTGAAGGAGGAGCCAGAGGCCCAGCTCTGAGTGAGAGGGGAAGCCCTCAGATCCATCTGGAGGACAGACTGATCATGCACTAAAAGGGAAGCACAAGGGTGATAAAGCTGTGACAGGGATCTAGGCAGAAGGCCAGGATGACTCACACCCGACTAGACATGGCAGAAGTGCTGTCAAGTGATCAGACCCCAGATAGACTGAGGATTTGGTGGAAAATGCATGTGGATAGAAGAAAAGGAAGAGGCGAGGAAGACGCCAAAGATTCTGGCTTCAACAACTGATAGGATAGAGCTGTCATTAACCTGGAAGGGAGGAAGGAGAATATGTAGGAGAAACAGATTAGGAGGATCAGAAGTTCAACTTTTGGACACCCAACCCAAGAGGTCAGGTCATCACTTGTAAATATGATCTGGAATTCAGGGGAGAGGTAGGCCCTCACTGGTGGTACAATTTTTGGACCTGGTAGGAAAAAAAAAAAAAATGGTCACTGAAGCTTCAAAACAAATGAGGCTATTGCAATAGTTAGACTTTGATGAGGAAAGGTACAGAGGGTCGTATGATGAAAAACACTACAGAAGAGGGGTCTTCCTAAGTAGGGTGGTCCAAAAGCCTCCCTAAACAGGGAATGGTAAGCTGCAACTTGATAGTTACAGATGTCCTCAATCTTTTATGTAAAACTCCTGGGGAAAGGTACGTTTCAGAAGGGGAATTTTTGGGTTTTGACACTTTCGGTATGGTCCAGGGACACACCTCATGATGACTTATCAATATTTCTGCAGATATTTATTTATCACAGGAAGTGGGATAACACCAGTAGCGTCATATCAGTTCAGACCACATTTTGCTGTTCCGTAAGTCTGCAACAAACCTTCGGTGTTTTCATTTTGTTGTACTGTTCTTTTTTTTTCTTTTTTTTTTTTTTAACTTTTCAATGCATTGCACTGTTTTAGTGTTCCTTAATTCATCTCATCTTCATTTGCAACTCTATGTACAGATGTGCTGTTGGTGTCACCACATTACAAATGAGGAGACAGGCACGGAGTGTTTGCCTGTGTTCCTGCAGCAGCCGAGACCAGTCCGACCAACTCCCAGGTTGGGCAGAGGTGAAGGTCCTACAGTGGGAGAAGGTTTGAGGTGTTTGAAGAACCAACTGGCTGGAGGTGGTGAGCAGCAGGAAGTAGTAGAGGATGAATCAGAGGAACCTGGCAAGGCCCAGTCCTGTGAGATCTCTGCAAACTTCACCGTGGGGCCAAGAAACTGAGTAACAGCATGGGCTTCTTCTGAATGTGTCAGCTCGTTCTGCTTTTCAACACATGATCCAATCAACTAGGTCATCAGAAAAGTCATGATGCATTTTTGCATGGAGAAATGCGTCATGACTTTTCCAATGACCCTGTATGTCTTCAGAAATCCATACTACCTGCTTGACCAGGAAGAGATAGCCGGAGGGTATCATGGAAACAGGTGAACTGGTCACATCTCCATGTCACACCACCTCGAACCCCAAGTTGTCATCCCCGTGGCCCCAGCAAAGCCTGAGAACATATTGAGGGTGTCAAACTGAGGTAACTAAAAATGGGAATTTGAATATCCTCCTGGCCCCAGACCAGCCACATGTAACTAAAAAGAAAAATTACTCCCAAATTCACTTGCCATCTACAATTTTGTCCATGTACATCTTCTCTGAGATATTTTAGAGAAATACACGCAATATTTATTTAACTTTACCCCTCCACCACCTTTACATTACTTGATACTTTTGAGATTTTCTTAGCCAGTTAGTTCTATTAGATGGCATGATTCCCTCAGAGATCCTTGACAGCTTGTCTCACTTTATCAAGATAACCAGAAAGGACACCGTGTGCAGGCTCCAGACCGCTAAACCACACTAAGAGTTATATTTCCCTTTCGTCAACCCACAGCCTTCAACGGAATTTAGGAACATTCTTCCTGGCATATTCATTTGTAGGTTCCTGGAACTGGATTTTGTTTGATGCATCATTGCTGCGGGGGGTTGAGGTCTTTACAGATCTACATATGCAATAAAGGTCAAGGTGTTTATAAGCTGGTATTTGACAATATCCCTTTTCACAGTCTTGCAAATATATCTCCCCAACCAGTAGTCAATTGAATGTTTTTCCCTGCGTTTCTTGTCTTTCCTCAAACCTGCACTGTTGGCATAGCTGTCATGCGCCTCTCTGAGTCACGATGTGACTGGTCAAATTGTGTGAAATACACACCCTTCTCCAAACCTGGGGACCAAAACACTGAAATGATCGCAATCGATCTCATTAGTCATTTTCATGTGGATCACATATTAGCATGGTAATATTTATAGTATGCTGGGTTAAATAAACTTGTTATTCAAATATGTTTCCTTCTACTATTTAAATGTGGCTATGAACCATAACAGGTAGGAGGGGCATGAGTTCAAACGTGTAAAAATGAAGGGAAGAGATGGGAAGACTGAAGGGAGAAAGAAAAGAAGGGAAGGGACAATTAGAGAAAGAAAAACTATATTTTTCTTAATATCATGATCTATTTCCTCCAGTCTGTCTTGATCCTAGGTTTCCAGGACTCAGGGGTATACCTATAGTTCAAGGAGGTCCCCACACTCATGCATTTGCTCTAGGAAGTCACTTTAATCTTAGAGAGAAGAAATAAGCTCTGTGTTTCCTTTGATCAGTAGTGTGTTTTCTTTGATCTCTCTCAGAGTCTTCCCCCTGGCCACATCTCATATAGGTGGAGCTTCTCCCAAATGTTACCAAGATGGATAACAGACTTGCTCAGCTCACAGTGGCTCTTAATACTTTTATCAAAAAGAGTGCAGGTAAAGTCCTCTGGCCCGGCCTAGCTAGAGCATAGTTCTCTTAAAAATAGTGATCTCAAAGGAGAGAATAATCATTTTCTTCTTGCAATGACTTGTGAATTTACAGAAAAATAAGAACACAATGGTTTTCCCTGGAATTAGTCTGTTTCTTAATATTGTTAACAGCAAACCTTATTTTTACATCTTGTCTAAAATTAGAATGTGCCTGTCCTTTTTATATCTTTTTATGACTGTTAAAAAGTTGGCCTCCAGTTAAATTGTTACACTATGGAAAATACATTGACTTTAACGGGACCTTTAGAGGAGATTAGTTATACCATAAAAGTATATTTTATAAAATTCTAATGACTCCACATTGCCATTTATAAATCAAGTGTACTTGTCAAGTAACCCTATACCACATATTCAGCTTGCCTCTTCCCTTGGAGTTTGGAAGTAGCTTTTTTATACACATCAGGAGAGAGGTTTGGGGGGGGGGTCCTGAATTTGTTCTAGATAAATAAATTTCTTCTTTTCAAACATTAACTCTTTTGGGAGGGTTAGTTTGGTCAATATCCTTGAAGAATACATTTTCTAACTCTGTGACATCTAAAAGGAAGTATTCACCTGATTATATGCCTTTCACTACTTTTTAAAAATCAGGTATTCAAAGAATCCTAAGGTTTTTGTTTGTGCTTTCCAACTCTAGAGATCACTTGGAAAGTTCAGGGTTAGGGCTTTAAAAGATTGTCAGTGCTAGTTCTGCTCAGTCACAAAGATGTCTTCCTAGCCTCTGCTCTTCTGATCAGACTGCGCAGAATACAGACCACAAAACTGGCTCAGCCTTAGTCTTCCAAAACACATAAGGAGTACCATGTATTTTCTGGACTAGAGACTCTAAGAATTCATAGAGTACGTACTTTACATATCTCTTCTCCCTTTTGCTAAGTCCAGGGAGTTCGTCAACCCTCACATAATAAATTTCTGATTCTTGGCTTCTAAGTAAGCAAGTAGAGAATATTTTATGAATATAAGGAGATATTTACTTGAGGGCATTCTTGTCAGGAGGGATTCCTAATTCCTGTATCCCGGGAACTACCTTTTCTCCTGCCCTATACAAGGAAATCAAGCCAAGATGCTAATGCAGTGTGTGTCTATAAAGAGAAGTAGAGCAGGCCAACTCTGTGACCAGCTTAAGGCAGCCAGATCCCATGTGGCTGACTATACCTGTACTGTTCCAGCCCCCAACCTGTGGCTTAGAAAGCACACTGGGCACATGTGCATACGTGTCCTAAATCCTGAAAGCAGGGAAAGATCGAGGAGAAAGAATTGTGGTGTGATCAGTTCCAGTGTAGGGGAGCTTTCTCTTCTCCCTCTCTGTCTTTCTCTGGTAAGTACGTGTACTCTCTAGTAAAATAAAAGATTAAAAAAAGACAGAAAGAGGGAGAAAGACAGTTGGGATGGGAACACAAGAGAGAGAACAGAGACATTTCTCACATAGGTAAGCAGGTCATCATCTGTCATGGCAAAAATTGCTGTTTGTCTCTCCAGTATACATTCCCCACCTTTTTCTTAGTCACTGAGCCAAAGACCAAGTATTCACAACCTAGTTTTCAGTATCCCTTTTGCTGATACAGTTAGAAGTAACCATCTACTATGGGTCCAAACACAAAACTCAATCCACGAGTAAAAGAGCAGAGAGATCCTGATATGCCCTTACAGATTAAGTTGTCCAATTTCAAGAGCTCAAGAAAAAGATCATTTACTGGTCAGGGTTCTCTAGAGAAACAGAACCAATAGGATGTTACATATATAGAGAAATTTATTTTAAGGACTTGGTTATGAGATTGTGGAGTCTGGCAAGTCCAGACTGCAGGGTGGGCCCTCAGGCTGGAGACCCAGGGAACAATTGTGGCTGTGTTTTGAGTCTGAAGGGCATCTTCTGACAGAATTCTGTCATCTTCGGGGAAGTCTGTTTCTCCCCGACCCTTTATCTTAAGGTCTTCAACTGATTAGATGAGGCCCACCTAATTATGGAGGATAATCTGCTCTTCTCAGGATGTGCAAACTTAAATGCTACTCTCATCTGAAAAAAAAAAAGTGGTAGGTGCTGCTGTGGAAGGATAAGACCGTGTGTGAGGCTCAAGTTCAGATTCTGGACAAACCTGAACACACCAGCTTATAGCTGTTCCTGTAATACCAGCTAAATGGAAGGCTTGGGCAGAGGTTCACAACAGTAATAACCTGTCAAAAATACTTCTCTCTCTAATTAAAGAAAAAAGTTTCAAAAAATGAATGATCATAAACCATCAAACTGGGCCAGCAGGTAGCATGGTGGTTAGGGCAGTGGATCCCACATGGCTGTTCTACAGTTCAAGTCCTGGGCCCAGGGGCCTGAAAAAAGTGTTGTGTTGTGTGTATGTGTGTCTGTGTGTACTCAAAACCCTTAGAGAAGAATGGAGGAGAAGGTATTGCAGCATGGTTAACTCCTCCAGAGGTTGATTTCTCACTTTCCCTGCATGGCCACTCCCCCTTAGAGGGATGATTTCTCACTTTCCCTCTCTCTGTCTTTATCTCTATCTGGTAAGGGTACATGCCCTATGGCAAAAAAAAAAAAAAAAAAGAAAGAAAGAAAGAAAAAGAAATCTAAACACACACACACACCATCAAACAGAAATAATTATGAGACAACGCTAAGAAACTTAGCCTATGACAAGAAACACTATCCATTCAGTATTAGGAGTCATGTAGGGCTGGTCAAAATTTCATTGTCCTAAAAGAGCTACATAATCCGAAAAAGGTTAGTTTACCAAGAAGACATAGCACTTGTAAATATCTACACATCCAACACTGGAACATTGAAATATGTGAGAGACTGCTATGTCTAAAGGGAGACATAGACTGCAACATAATACTTGTTGAGGGTCTGAATACACCATTATCTCCTCTGAACAGATTGTCTAGACAAAAAATAAACAGATACAAGATCTAAATGACACCTTAAATCAAATGGACTTGACAGACATCTATAGAACATTTCACTCAACAACCATAAAATACACATTTTTCTCACTCCCATATGGAATGTTTTTTTTTCTCAGCAAATAATTTTCCAATTCTTATGTCCTGCATACCTTGCCTTTTGTTTTGCCATCCTTGATTCCCCATCCCCCACCCTCTGCTATGTCCCATCCTCCTCCCCCATTGTCCCTGGCATCCATGGTTGCCCTCCATGCCTTCCCC